TCTGAGTAGCTGATGGGCCGAGTCGACATCGCTTGTCTCGACCTAGTGGGGTCGTCGGCAGCCTTTAGTCGAGCAACCTCTAGCTGAACCGGACCGCGAAAATAGGGCTATATCATCTAGTCCCCCCAACAATTACTCTAAGCGACTTCAGAGCTTAAGAGTAAGTATAGTAATTGTGCTTTCCTTCTCCTTCGTTGATAAGTCGTCTCGTCTTTACTCTCAAATCATCTCGTCTGCGACTCACGAAATCCGCCTAGGTCACTTAGGGTTCAACTTCATCATTTAAGCACCTTTTCTGAGCATATCCACTTATCATTATTTCGAATTTCGAATTTTGGAATTGGGGCCTGACACGCCGCCCCATCTTTCCTTTTACCGCTTCGAATTCTGTGCCACATATGAACCGTTGATTTTACTTTAATCCAACAGCCAGGGTTCCACAACCTCTCCTATAAATACTTCCCTCTTCCTTTCCTTCATACTTTTCGCACTCAAGAATTTCTCAAGCTTTCCCTTTTCTTCTGGCAATAAAGCATCCCGCGATTCCCGCGTGCATCTCCTTCCGGCTGCTTATCCGGCACTCTCAGAACCTCCTAATCCGTCAATATGTGTAAGTTTCCTTTATCCTTTATTTCTGGAAGATATTATTTTATTATTTTTTGCCTGTTTTCTGGGTTTTCGATTTCGGAATTCTATGTATGTTCTTAGTGTTCTTGAGAATCTTTGAACGATCCTGGATATATTAGTGTTAGATCTTAAAATACTCTTTTGTCGACTTAAGATTATGTTTGAAGAAGTCCCTTCTCCGGGACATAATCGACTTTATCCTCCTCGTGCGTCGACCTCTGTCGAACCTAGTACCTTCTCGTTCCTTCTTTACTATCGACTCCCGTCTTCTGACGAGTCCATTTTAGGCTCTGGCCTTTTTCCTTGTCCGCAGTCCCTCTGGCCTGAGCACTTTTCCCTGAGGTCGACTTTATAACTAGAAGTCCTTCACGTATCGACATACTCTATCGTCTTCCTTCACTTTTATATTGATATTTGTTTCTCGACTCTTTCTCATAGATTCCGGGTCCGACTCCGTTTTTGGCTCTATTCCCGGCTCTCTCGTCCGTCAAATAGAAGAATATTCCAGCTCCGAATCTATCGAAATAATTGGCTCTAGACCTGCAGTCGAGCAAGAGAGATCACAAGGTTC